CTGCACAATTTGGTTAATATTTTTTAGATGACCATACAGTATTGTATAACAATGATGTTAAGGTCACAGATTTTCCACCTGTTCATAAAGTGAAAATGAGTGATATCATACATCAGTGATATGATTAGGAAGTGGCCTGCCTGCTAACAGGAGGCTTATAGTGCCATTGCTCAGAATTAATCTATGCATGATTCACCCAATAACGTAATGTTTGAATTTCAGGGGAACATTTGTCCGAAACAGCTGCATACAAAACTGATATACAATATATCTCCCGCAACAATTGGCTAAAGCAGCTCTATCCCAGGGAGGAAAAAAAACAGCCAGAGTTGTGGCAGTTGATCTATCTAGCAGTGGATCATGCTGAACAGGTTGGTATAAGGAGATTGAGAGAGCAACATAACCAGCTCAGCATGATACCTCCTATGTTTGACTAGCTTATATTATATTGCAGATATATAGTGAATCTTACTTTATGGTACACTGTAGCTTTAGTCTTGAAGAGATCACGTTCCTGATTTTTAAAATTTTCTTTGCAAATCTTATTTGCAAACTCATGGGTGTTTCCTTCCAAAATGCATGATTTTCTGCTTTGAAATACACTTGCCACTTATCTGCTCTAATATGCCTTCCCTAGTGTTTCAAATAATTCCTCACAGATTTTTTTTATAGTTCTGAATTTAATATCATCAGCAAATGTAGACATCAAGTCTACATGTAAGTCTCGATAATGTATATGTATGGAAAATAAAACCCAGGCACTGGCCTTATGTTACATCACTGCCTACATCTTCATGAAAGATATCTCTTTACTGCTTCACTCTGCATTTTTTATTGTTACAGTGAAAGTCTTTCAGGAATTTTGGAAATCTACTTGATACCCTTGACAAATCAAAAAGAAAACCTTTATTTGACACAATCCATCATTTATTTTATAATACTATTGGTGTAACATTTTTTTAAACATAATATCTTTGGTATTTCCATTGTAAACACTGTATGTTTAGTACCAAGTGTAAAAAGCTCTTTTGAGTTGAATTGCTCCCTATATTCCTGCAGTACTGATGTTTCCCACATGAGGGACATAAGGACATATCATTGCTTTTCAGTCCGTTTGCAGCTGTATCACAATTGGTTCCTTTATTCAGGTTGTACCGCAAATAAAAAATAAACGTGTTTGCAGCCTAATACAATGAAGGCTTTCTACGATATGTTGTTGATAAGATTTATCATCTTAAATGGAACATTGTTGAAGTTTGCAACCTTTTTAAAATGGTTGATCATACAAAAGGTTTTCATTCCCTCTGAGCTGAATTTAATTGGGATTTACTGATTAACAAAAAAAATAAACGTGTTGCTGTCTTTGTGAATTATCTTTAGGACTTCCTTTACGAGTTCACAAATCAAGATCATATCTGTCTGTTTCTGTGGAAAAGTTGTTGTCTTTGCAGATCAAATTAGCTTTTTTTTTTAAAAAGATGCTTTGTGTTTATCTGTATGGATTCCTTGTAAATACTGTACGTTTAGTACCACGTTTAAATTGTGACAAACTTAACCTTAAAGATAACACCATCGAAACAAAGGAGATAGAAAGTCCCAGTGTCATCACGAAGTGTATGTGCCTCTTGTGTAATTTGCATCTGGTGTAATTCAGGCTGCTCACAAAATGCAAAATATGTTCACTATCAGCGGAAACAAGTTGACATTCTTGGCATCGAGTCAAGGTTATTGCAAATGTGCTATTTTGCCTTAAGAGTTTTTTTTTAATTAGGAACACGTAAATACGAAATAATTCATTTTTAGTCACTCGTTTCCTAATTCCCATTTCCTGACGAATTTCACCATCACAAGAAGGTTTTAGCTCCAAGAAGAAGGTTAGCCTTCCCAGGGCTGAGGACGATAATTGCTACGAGTATGGATGGATCAGGGAGGTTGATGTAAAGACCCTGCGTGTTTTTACACGTCTGCTCTGCCCAGGCTTTGCACTGGATAACAACTGTGGGAGATTTATTTTTTCACGCAGTTTGTCCGTTTGATACCAGGGGAAGTGCACAGGCTGCACAGACGCACATCATGTGTGTGTACATGGATGGTAGTGGTGATGTGTGTGTGTGTGTGGAGGGAGGGGGTTTAAGGAAGGAACTCACTCACTAACATGAACGTCTTAAAAACTCCTGATATGTCACGTCCAGAGTGCAGTGCTGTTGTGTATGTTGCCAATGTGAGAAGTTGGATGTTTTGGTGCGAACAGGTTGAGAATCATCAAGTCAAAAGCTGTGCTAATTGTCATTTGAATGCAGCAATATGTTTCGAGTATCTGTGGATACATCTAAATATCAAACGTGACACTGACACATCTGCCTATTCTAATCGTATTTGGAAGAGGATTGAAAGAATTCGTGTTCAAAACAAGACTTTTTTTTTAAAAAAAAGTAAAATTAATGACAATGCAAACCTGAAAAGTTTGCTTAAAAGATGCATGATCAGAAATGGGGACAGATAAAGAGAAACAAATAAGAAAATGGAATCCACCAATTTATAGAAAACCTGTGAGTAAATCCTTCACTTCAAAGTTGATATTTTTGGGTGGGCTTTTTTTTAAAAAAAAGGAATCAAATCTATTGTAAATAGAAACACGTGGAAATAATAACATACATAATAACTTGTGTTATTATGCCTCAAAGCGCTTCATAAAGGTTTTATAGTGACCTTTAGTGAATGTAGTTTGTAGGCAAATGCCTACAGTCATGTTTCATGTCTAGATGTTTGATGTTAGATTCCAAACTATGTATCTGTTGAATATTGAGACTTCTTTTCAAGATATTTTAGACCAGTGAGAGTTTATTTCCTTGGGGGGGGTTCACAGGATATGGCCCTTTATGCTTGAAACCCACACATCCCAAAATAATTTACATGACCAAGGCCTTTTGAGGAAATAAACACGAATAGAAAAGGTACTCCTTGTTACGATAAAGGGTAGAAATCGTTTTAAAAGTGTTTTCTTGCTACGGGTTAGCTGTCGTTTCTGATCAACGCATATAAAGTAAGCTAAGTTCACCCTACACTCTGTGCTGCCAACCCTTTTAAGTGGTTTTGCACATTGCAGAAACTGTTATTTTCTCTCCCCACCTCCCATCCATGGATTCTGGTGAAAATAGTGAGAAAAGAACGATTTAATGAAATGTAAATTCTACGTGCTGGCCAACCACCCACTTAGATGCAATTTTTATGTTCAGGAAAAGCTGAAAAGATAACAAAAGAAGAGAAGTAATTAGAAATAAATGGATGGTGGTGTTGTTTTCTCTCCAGGTTTCGTGTGCTTTCATTGTGAAGCGATTTGGTTGGATGAAAGCCACTTCGCTTCCTCGAGTATAATAATAATATGCGAGAAAAATTGCGCAAAAAACGAATTGTTTTACAATCTTTTCTGTTTACATGTTGGTAGAATGGGAGATTGCAGAAGACAGAAGATCTTTACTGCCTTTTTTTTTCTTTCGCTTGAACTGGAAGCTGTGCAAATTGAGTTAGCTCCTGTTTTCTGCAATGTTATTGTGTGAGGAGGTGATCATTTGATGCGGTTCAATGGGTTTTCCAGTGGGCAATTGCCTTTTCTTTGGTGTAGGGGTGGATTTTACCTTCCTGTGATTTTTTGAAAAACTGCTATTATAAACCTGCACTTAAACGTGATGCACAATCCATGTGTCGCCAAACCCACAGCAAATTTGACACAGGAGACTTTGTTTCATATAAAACTCTTAAATGTTGACGATGGACGAAACATTCAAACAGCTGTAATATGATCCACTATCAACACAGGCCAACGTTGCATTTTATTTATCTTAAGAAAATATTAGCTCTTAATAAATACAGGGAAATGCAAATACTTTACTATGCAATCAAAACACTCCCTGGTTATTGTTTCCTCCCCTTTTTGGGGGAGGACATTGCTACTGTGAGGCATATGAAGTGGGTGCCCATGTCATTACTTTAGCAGTTGAAGGACAGACATTGAGTAAAATCAATTTAACACCCCCCCCCCCAAAAAAAAAGAAACAAGTGGCAGTTCCTGTATTGTTTTCCATCCTTTTTGCGATGTAACCCCCCCCCCAGAGAGTGATGCTGAGTGGAACATTAAAAAAAAATGCCGACAACGTGAATTTCTTCACTCTAATCCTGAAATAAGAGGACACGGGCTTTTAAAAAAAAACACACAGACACACACAGAGAGAGAAAGAGGGAAGAGAATGGGAGAGAGAAAGAGAGAGAGAGAGAGAGAGAAAGCAAGAAAGAAAAGCAGGTGCAACAGTTGCAATGACTTGCACTTGTTCGGTTGACATTGGCGGAACGAGGGGGTGCGAGTAGCTTGTGCTTTTATTGCATTGCATCCAAAGCGAAGCCTCCCCTCCTCTTGCACCTCGTGTGTGTGTGTGAGAGAGAGAGAGAGAGAGAGAGCACCTGAGCACCTGCGCCCACTCCCCCCCTTCCCATTGCTCTAACGGGACCCACCGGCCGGGCCGCAGTGCGCACGCGCGCGGCCACAGCTAACTGCGGGGGAGGGGGCGAAAGATGGCGGAGAAAGTGATGTGAGAGTCGGCGGCGAGAGAGCAGCACAAAGCGACACAGAGAGACACACAGAGGGGGACCCGCTTTATTATTTGTGGGGGACAGTTCGCTGAGGGTTATTGTCGAGGGGGCGGAGCGGGTGTTTATTTGTTTGTTTGTTTGTTTATTTCTCTCTATTTTAGTCTTATTTTCTCTCCGGCGACCAATTGTGTAACCGGTTTTTTTTTTTCGAGAATATTCTGCGAACCCCACACCCTTCACACCGGCACCTTCTCCTCCCCCCTCCCCCCACACACACACACACCTCTCCCCCCCTCCCTCCCTCCCTCCCTGTCAGTGCCTTTCCCTCCTCACCCCCCCCCCCCCCCCTCGGCTCTCTGGTGGCAGTTGGGACGTGAGGAGAGAGAGAGAGAGAGCGGGGAGTGTGCGGTCGGCAAATGGCGAGCGACAAGACGGCGCTGCCGGTTAACGTTCAACCTCCGGCGGCGGCGGCGGGAGGAGGAGGAGGAGCTGCGGTCGGACTGGGAGCGGGAGGCGGCGGCGGTGGCGGCGGAGGAGGAGGAGTGGGGTCGGGAGGACTCGGTACCAAACCGCCGCAGCAGCAGCAGCCGCCGCCCCCCCCGACCGCCGCCGCCGCCGCCGAGATGCTCGGCTCCGTGGTCTCCCTCTCGGGCATTAACCCGTCGGTCCCCATCAGGAATATAAAGATGAAATTCGCCGTCCTCATCGGACTCATCCAAGTCGGGGAGGTCAGCAATCGGGACATCGTCGAGACGGTGCTCAACCTGGTGAGTTACCCCCCTCCCCCCTTTTATTTGTGGGTGTGGGGGGGGGTATTTTTTTTAAACGCCTCTCTCTCTCCCCCCACCCCATCACCACCATCACCACCACCTCTCTCTCTCTCTCTCTCTGTCTGTCCTTGAGAATTGAGAGAGAGAGAGAGAGTGCGAGTGTGTGTGTAAGACAATGTCTCGGAAATTCAGTGCAATCCTGTCTTGCAAACGGGGGGAAGCGCAGCTGCTCTGTAGCTGTGTGGGGGGGAATGCGTTAACCCCCCGATGGGCTCTGTATGCGGCGAGAGGACGGGGTTTCTTGCAAATCGGTTGTGTTGCATTTGGCTGAAGAGGTAAAAAGGTATTATTTAAATCCGAAACGCACGCAACACGCACAACACAATCCGGGCGATGGGTAATTGCCTCTTCAGTGTTGCCGTAAACCTGTGATACCAGAGGACCAGCGGGTTACCACAGGACCGTTGTTTCCGGATGACTGGGGGAGATGCAATGACCTGCTTTAACGCTGTACTGAGATGTCTTTCAAAATAACTCGGCGGCTCTAGTGTAGATGTATCCACTGCACGTCTTTTTTTTCCTTTGCTGTTTAGAAACACACACCACTGTTTCACTTCAGAAGCTGCTGCATATATCAGTGAATAACGACTGACGCCCTGTAGATATAATACTGCGATTTCCCTTTCTGCCTTTGAACACTTGAAACGTGTTTTCGTTACTGTGCAAGGCGTCGGGATTACTGACCCTCCATTCAGTTTGCTGCTTCGATTTCACAGAGCATAGATCGAGTTAGAAAGGTCCTACTACCAACTATGAAACGGGTTGGATTAAGTGTACAGTTTAGGTTCAGTTTCAATGTTTGCAGACGCTGGAAAGGTGGTTTAAATATACTTGGTAAGCAGTACTTGAACGCTACAAGTACGAACGACATAACACTATTTATAGTAAAATAACCATCAGTCAGCCTTCTAGAATCTGATGCTAGTAGTAATGATCTTATTGGCAGTGAATTCATTTGAATGAGAAAGCAGTCTTGGAAGATGGTGCAGACGTGCAGTGTGTTCGCATTTCATTTCTTAACAGATGGGCAGGAGGGAGCACCGTGCACTTGGAAAACCACTAACTACAGACGAAACTAACTCATTGGAGATTGACAAATGGCTGCTATAGCATTCACCTCAACATGATCTGAAAATGATCAATTGTGAAGCTAATGATTATGACGGGTATCTTTAACGTCCAAGAAACCACAACCTGGCCGCTGCTGCATTATTGATTTGCGTAAAGGGCTTTTCCAGAAGTGTTAAATCTTAAAAGCGTATTTGGCTTAAGGTCATGTCTTAATGAGCAGTATGCGAATTTGTATCCCCAAAAAGAGCTGGTCTCTAATTGTGTAAATCAATTCGGCTATACAGATTAAGATCTGAAGTAAAAAATGCTTTATTTTGTCACAATATCAGTATTGTTACTTTATGTCCCTGCACATGCTATCCCCAATCAGCATGCATTTGACAACGACGTCTTATTTAAAAAAAATCAAGCCCATGGAAACAATTATTTGAAACATTCTATCCTATCTTAAAAACAAAAGTTTGTGTGAAATTACCCTGCGATTCTATGTAGGGTCCTCAAATAAAATTGGCAGATTTCAACATCCGTTGCTCTCCATATTCTTTCTGACCATTGCAATGTTTCCTGCATTGTGTGCAAAATTTCTATATAATTCTGATTCCCATCTCTTAAGTTTTCATATTTTAAATGGAATAAAATATTCTTTCCACAGAAGTATTTGCTGTGGTCTTAGCTCATAAAACTGTATATGTGCCAATGTATATTTGTGAGCACTGCAGCACAGACAACAATTACAGTGTACAATACAGAATTAAGAGATTACATTTAAAATGCCTTCTTTAAATTATTTTATATTTTTGGTCAGCCGGGTGTCTGACACGTGTGGAAGCCCATAATAATAATCCTTGCATTTGAAAAAGCGCTTTTCACGTCTTCTAGACGTCCTAAAGCGCTTCACAGAATATACTGTAAAGTGAATTGACTGTATATTTGTGGGTGAATGTGGCAGCCAATTGCGCATAGCAATGTCCCACAAACAGTCATGGATTGAAAATGACCAATTTATTATTTTGTTTTTTTTGGAGGGATTATTATTATGCGTGTGGAGTAAGGAAACTTGCCCAAGGTTTCGCCCTGCCTGGAATTTAACTCGGGTCACTCGCTTGCAAAGCGAGTGCTCTAACCACTGAGCTACAGGACTCCGTCACCATGCTTAAGAGTATCCCAAACCAAGCTGAGAATTCCATGCATCCCACCTTTACATGGAAATTCCAGAGATATTTATTGGAATGGAATGCACACTCTCTCCCTGGAAGGACACATCCTGCAAACCTAATTCCATAAATGATTAGGTGCAGGTTAGCAAGAATCAAGGCTTGGGGATGCCAGAGTGTGTGTGGCGTATGCTGGAATCTAACCAGCTAAACCTGTATAGCTTACCATTGAAAGCATTACCTGACCAGCTTTCCTGCTGCTTGTCCAGCTAGAACAACCATACCCATTAGGGCATTGGCTTGCAGGGTCAACAGGGGCTGAGTGGGAAGAGTCCCTGCCTCAGTCACTTGTCTGCCCTTCCAATTCCTGCTGTTGAGCCACCAGCAGTGACCTGCAGTACTGCGAACCTGGCTGACTCAGGATCAGGACTACCGAGATTGCCACAGAGGGTAGGCTTGATCCTGGCAGTTCATTTCCAAAAACAGTTTAGGAAAGCAAAGGGCAATTTCAGGATAGATGCCAGGAAATATTTCTTTATCAAGAAGGTAATTGATCATTGTAGCAGGCAACCAGGAAAATTGTTTGAGGCCAGGATGTTAGACTCATTTTAAAAACGGCTTGATGCTGTTAAAGAAAGGTAAGGTGGGTATTCTGGAAGGCTGAAATCAAATTGGTCAAAGACCCTTTTTCATCTGAACTTCTCTTGTGAATATGTAATCTTGGGGCAAATAGATGCACTGTGTATCTATTTGCCTGCAAAGGTGCTACACTGTGATCCGTGAAGTGCATTGAGAAATTACACAATACAAAAATTATTTCTGTCCAGATCTCTCTGACTGGTGTCCTTGGAATCATCAGCACATTTAGACAGTTTTGATCCTAAGGCATCCTCCTGGTTAGCTGCTCTGTGTTTATCCATCTCTTTTTTGTGGTCAGTGAAAAAAGTATCTGGCACACACGGAAACCCATTACTATGCTTTCCCATATTCTTGTCACCTATGCATGGAAATTTCCCTGTGTGGAATGGAATATTCACTCTTTCCATAGACGGAGGTACTCTGCATAAGTAGGGTTCCAGAAAGTATTTATGTGGAATTTTGTAATAACCATGGATTGGTGGAATTTAATCAGCTAAACTTATAGCATTCTGTGGCTTATTCATCTACAACCACCTTACCCTTTAGGTATGGCAGAATTAACAGGAGTCCAGAGGGAAGACTCTCTGCCTTCAGTGACTTGTCTACCCCACCACGAGTCAGGCTGTTTTGTCAGCCATCAGCAGGGCCTTGGAATACTGTGGATTTGCTTGGCTCAGGAACTGAACAATTGAGACCACCACAGAGGGTCGACTCAATTCTGACATTCCATTGCCAAATGCACTCTATTGGAGCCAGCTCAGCCCCAAGGAGACTCCTCTTACCTTTACCACCACCACCACCCTGTCCCGATAGTCCCGATCTGGCACTGTCCAAAGCTTTGTTAAAATTTGCATGTAGAAGATCTATTGCACTCAATTGGCTGCCCCATTTCGCCACAAATATACAGCCAATCCACCTTAAGTATATTCTGTGAAACATTTTGAGACGTCTTAACGACGTGATAAGGTGCTATATCAAATGCAAGAATTGTTATTATTATTCCCTCTCTCCTCCAGATCCATTATTTATTTAAATTCCCTCCCATGAAGCATTGCTGACTCCTTATGCTCCATATTTCTTTAGGTGCTTTATTTTCCATTGCCTTGGGATGCCATCTAATGTTTTAGCTACTAACATATCAAGGTCACTGGTTGTGGTTCCCAGGGTTATCATTTGCCCTCTTTTATAAATTATTTGCTCATGGGCACCACCCATGTTTACAATGATTCCTAAAGATATTAACCAATATGTGACTGATATTATTGATCTTTTTAGTTGTTTGAGGCTGAGTGCCTTGCCTCTTTTGTATCCTTCACCCATCTGTCATCTCTATCTTTCTTAGCATTTTGTTCTGTCCTGAAAAACCTGCCTCATGGTTTGTTTAGTAAATACCGTTCAGCCATTTAGTTATTCAGAATTATTCCTGGTCAATTGATATGTCTTCTTTGGGATCCTTTGGTGCTCAATTTTCCATGGATATATTCAATAAAGCCTTTCATATTACCCTCAATCATTATCTTGATTTTTATATTGTTTCTTTACTTTAGCTTTATTCTTTACTGGATATGCTTTGTCAGTGAATATTTTTTCATTTACCTCCAGTATTAAGGAGAAGATGAAGTAGATCCTTACATTTGATCCTGTAGCTTAATGGTTAGTGCACTCGCCTCACAAGCAAAGTGACCTGGGTTCGATTCCCGAGCAGGGCAAAACGTTGGGCAGGTTTCTTTGCTCCACATGCCTCTGTTTATCTAGCAATAAGTAGGAACCTAGTAGTTAGTTGATTGGCGGATCGCTTTTCCGGGGGTAATAAGCCCTTAAAAAATGAGAAGAATTTGGTCGCTCAATCATGACTATTTGTAGGACACTGCTGTGTGCAATTGGCTGCTGCATTTTGCCCACAAAATATACAGTCAATTCACTTTACAGTATATCCTGTGAAGCACTTTGAGATGTCTCAACAACGAGATAAGGTGCTATATCAAATGCAAGTATTATTAATTATTGATATGTTACCTTTCAGGTCAGGAGAATGTCTCAAGCTTTGTATTTTGTATAGGCAAACATGGCAGC